ATGCGAGTTATAAAGAATCCAGTTTTTTCAATCTGCTTCATTCTCTTCTTCATTTCTTCAACCCTTTTTCACTAAATTCAATGGCTTTAGTAATCATTAATGGTGGAAGGAAGGTTTTGCCCGAGAAGTCATATAGAAAGGTCATGAAGGACCCCATGTGCAAGCAATTCTTCCGGAAAGAGATACGTACAAGGAGGTGGAAGAAACTCCTTTGCCACAAAGCCGACCGATGGCATCCAACCGTGGTGGATATCTTCTACGACAATTTAGAACGGGTGAACGACGGCGATTGGTTCGTTCCCTACGCCGGAGGTGAGTATGTTCTTGATCATGACACCATCCGCAAAGCCCTTGACATTCCTGTTATCCAAAACCCCCACCTCCAAAACCCCATACATGACATCCCCCACATCACACTACTCATGACCATAGAAGGAAGTGTCAAGAGCGGATCTTCTTGTATAGACTTCAATTCCCTCCGCCGGAATCAAGCCATGGTTGTATATTGGTTTGGTTCAAACGCCCTTGGCACCACCAAGCCAACGGACGTCAACCGTCTCATCGCCCACATTCCCGCCAATTCTACAACACCCTCACAAACTCTAAACTCGAATACACCAAAGCCGTTCTCCCGGTCCTCATCACTAAGATTCGGATCAAGGTTTGGAAGCTTCTCATACCCGCGGGAAACTACATCACTCTAGAGAGGATGCATGTCTCAAACGCAATGAAGTTTAGATGTGTGAGGCTTCAATGGTTTGAGGATGACATGGAGGAGGCTATACGGGAACGCCAAAGGCAACGCGTATAAGCGGACGGGCAGAATCCGTTGGAGCTTTCACGACTCGATGGGATCAACGATCCCAATGCCATTGGTATGCTACTCATGACGGCAATAGCTCATATGCACACAAGCATCACCCAACAATTCCAAACGCTCAATGAAAGGATTGACCACCTGGATATGGATGTGACCGACCTCAAGGAGCACGTCATGGGACCAACACCAATGCCCGAGGTCGAAGAAAGTGAAGGGCCAACCTCAAGCGAGGATGAGGAAGATGAAGATGAGGAGGATAGTGATTAGTAGTAGTATTAGTTGGTCGAGTCTAAGATCGAGTCTAAGTTAGTTTTATTTTCATTTTATGTTTAAGTTTGTTTATTTTTAATATATGTTGCAATTTTCATTTTTATGTATCGAAACGATGAAATCTAGTAATGAAATGAATTTTGTACAAAATGTGTGTTTTAA